GTGCCTGTATACTTAATTAAAAACAAATAAAATACAGAATAAACTGTATGTTCTGGTCACAAGAGGACTTAACCATGGAGTGTGAATGGAAGCAGGAAGGAAGCCGGGTCCCTGGGCCATCTGGATGACTGGATGCCCAGGCTGTGTCCCCTGGTGGGTGAGTATCAAGATCCTGTCTATATGGGGACAGGAGGGAGTTGAGGGCAGGTTGGAGCTCCAGTAATACCCCAAAAGATACACAGCACATCCCAAGTGGGTCTTTAGGTCGGTTATCAACCCCCTAACCCCACTTGGAGCAGCACAAGGTCATTTGTCCTACACTGCCCAAGTAGATTCTGATTTAAAGGGAGAGCACTCAGGGGTTAGAACCATTAGGCAGAAGTTAAAGGGATGTAGACTTCAGCTCATATAAGGAACAACATTCTCAAATCAGAACAAAGAGTAAGGTGGAACCTCAGGAGACAGTGAATTCGTAGCCTCTGGATGTGTTTAAACACTGTGAGTGGCCAGGCCACAGAGATGCCTCAGAGGAGAATGAAGAGCAAACACTGCAAACATTAGTATTAGACACACAGAATGCATCAGGTGTCACCCACTAATGAGAAAGTTTTAGGAATACCCATCTAAGTTCTGGGAGCAATTATCTTGTTGATGGCACGTAATCATGATTAGCCTTGGAATTGAGGTTTGTGGATAATCTTTTGCTTTCTTAATATTCTGATATTTCTGTATTCTCTCAGCTAGCTGCATTTATGTCATGCATTTGTAGTGAGAGTAAGAGTAATTCTTCAGAAGGGATTTTGGCTAGCTTGCCTAGAACCAGCACCTGGCCAGAGGAAATCAATATTCTAGGATGGCAATTTTGTGTTTCAGGAGAATTTGGAACAAAGAGAAGAAGGAATTCTGAGAAATGTATACCCTCCCCACCAAAAATTATTTTATTCAACACAAAGAAAGCAGAAGGGAGAACAAAGAGCTAGATAAAGGAAAGAAATCTGTTTGGGGCTAAGCCAAATAAACTTAAACGGTTTAAGGAGTAAATTGGTGGAGTAATTCGAATCGTGGGCAGGTGCTATGAATGTAATTTAGTAAATGCTCGGGAACCTGCCAAGGAAGAGAAAAATGTGTTGCTTTTGAGATCATTTCCCAGCAGCTTCATAAAAGAAAACTGATTACAGGAATTTAATAAGTAAAGCAGAGCCAGAAATATAGTAATCAAATGAGTTTTTAATTACATTTCAAGCAGAAAAAAAATCCATTTTGTGCTCCTGGGATTAAAAAAAATAAGTTCTAGAGAAATGCTTTTGTAGCAGGAAAATAACATAAACACTAATTTCCATAGGAATTATAGTAGTCAGTTTAATTAAAAGGCTTGATCAGAGTGAAGAGCCAGTGCCAAACTATACTAAATAAAACCATGGCGTTTGTTGCTACCTCACACTATTTTCTAAATAAAAACACTGTGCATTTGAGCAGAAAACAGGCACCTGCATTTTTCTCATGGAAATAAAGGGGATTTTGATCACTGCCTGAGTTGTTATGTGGCTGTGTCCTGTGGTCATATGGGATAGCTAACACATCTGATTTAATATTAAATGTTGTTGCTTGGTATGAGAAATACCTCTTGGAAGAGCAAGAATATGCTCTGTTTAAAGGCCATCCATGTGAGGGGACCCGCACCAGGGGAGAGTGCTCACTGCTCAGCAGAGTACCTGATCATTTCCTGGATTTTCAATCCCCACTTGACTTACATCTAGTTTTTACATTTGACATATATCTCTATAACTCCCTGGGATAAAGCTTGGCTTTTGAAGGGGATAAATCAGGGCTTACTTACAGGTAGTCTTAGCTGTGCCTAAGAAAGCACAGCTTCAATATAAAGATCTACTCTTCCTATTGGTGGACTTTACTATTGACACACCAGAACCACAGGTCATGCTCAGAGAAGGCTTTCCAGGTGTGCTGAAGATTCAGAGGTTTAGTCCCATGTTCACCTTTTTGTTCCCCTTGTGATGAGTGGGACACACCATGTATGGGACCATATAATCTGCAGGCACAAAGCATTGATCCAAGGCATAAAGTGGGAACATTACCTTTCCCATGAATTAATACCCCCACAGCTCCATGATCATTGTTTCAGTCATTGCTCTATAAGGAAAAATGAAAACAATTTTATAGAGCATGTTATAACAAGAAATTGAGTCATCAGAATTATAGGAACACAGGGGAGGATAGACTGGCTTGTAGGGCCACTTTGCATGAACAGTGAGAGAGAGGTGGAGGAGAAAACAGAATCACTCTTCGCATGCGGTGAAGGAGCATGTAAGGATGAGTTAGTGGATAAGTCACTACCCCTATAACAGCCTCTGATGTTTAGTAAAGTTAGTAGTCACCCAAAACATTTCGGAGGATAGAATTCTCATGAAAGAGGAAATGAAGTGCACCTTTGCATTGGGAAGGATGCAGAGTGGTGCCAAGAAGGCCAAATGGACTCAAGAAGGAAGTCAAAAAACAAACACAAACAAACCACTTGGAACTAAGACTTGAAAATCATGGAAGGTATTTGAAAGGTCCTTGGAGCATGAAATAGATTTGAGGTCAAGTTTTACCTAATTTTCAAAGAATAGAGAGGCCCCAAGGGACATAAAGATTCCATTCAATAGCACTGTCAGGATTCATGGATATACCTATCCAAGATGGATCCATGATAGGAAGGAAGGAAAGACAATCATAAGTAGGATGAAAGCAAGGAAGTTCCTGGCATGAGACCTCCTTGCAATTTGATGACAACAGCAGTCACATTCAGACTATCCTCAGTTTCTCCCTCACCATCACAAACCCTCTGAAACCTTTGACAAAATTATTGGGTGTTTTGAAATATTAATAAATGTTGAAGCCACACAACTGCAAGATGTCTAATTTATTGTTCTTTGCTATGTCTTCTTGACTTTTTTAGACTAGCCTTCTTTCTTGCATCCTCTACAGATTCCTCTGTAAACTCAATCCATCTGGCTCATCAGTGTCTTGTCCTTGATTTTTCTTTGAGAAAAGGACTTAGCTTCCAATTAAAATGGAAGATTAGCAAAACTGACTTCTTAAATGAATTCTTATTTTCTTACATGGAAGGACTAAAGATCATGTGTGATCTTAACATTGAGGGACATGTTTTATCATCTGTAAAATGCAGAGTTATGGTGAGGAACAGACGAGATGAAGTATGCACAGCAGCTGGCAAAGCATTTAACACGTATGAATTGTTCAATAGCTAAAGCTCCTCCTGGTCAGTGTGGGATACAGGCTTTTATACTTTCTTGAGACTCTGAAGATAGAAAACAGATCCAAGAAATACAAATTCTTAAAAATCCATATGTTCTTACAAGATTCTGCCCATGTGTGACAGCCTTTGTTAAAATACCACCGTGTGAATATAATTTAGGTATGTTGATAATTTAATCAATCAGAAAACACTAAAGACAGCAACCAAAAAGCTAGCTGTGGTTATCTCCGAGTTATGAGAGCACAAATCATCTCTTTTTCCTTCTTCTTTTTAACCTGTTATTTCTCTGTTTTCTAAAATTAATACATGTTTTAAAAATATAAAATGTCTACAGAGGGGAGAAATATTTGTAAAGCAACTAAACTCATTTCAAGAGAATAAAGACCATGTTTCCAAAAAAAGATTAAGATGCCATCAAATTCTTTTCTTTTCTTTTGAGCCATTCAAAAGGTGACATCTCCAAAACCCTTTGTTTGTATGTTTCATATGAGTGGCTTTTTACATATAATTATTATTCGTACTTATAAACATAGATGATTAAGATATGTTTTTGCTGATCATATCTTATTGGTTAAATATGTTTGAAGCCTTTGATAGCTAAAACCAAAAAGACTTCAAATAAATGCAGTTATTCATGCACTTAAATAAAAGAAACTATAAATAATAAAATTTACCTTTTACACTTAAACAATGAAGCAGAAAAATAATAGAATTTACATACTGGGCAAAATGAACTCTGTGCACCTCTGTAAGATATTTGCTATTAAATCTGAACTTCCTGAATTTGTTCTAGCCCCTAGTTCAAAGGCAAGAGTCCCAACCCTGCTCCAGTAGTCCTCTGCTGTGAAATCTGCAGAATCACTCATTTGAATTAGGTTCAAATGAGTCATCTTATTTCCAGGGCTCTTGGAAAGATCAGGTTTTGTGAGGCTAGTAGTTTATACCCTTTTGGAATGGTTATTGTTGGTTGGTTTGGTTTTAAATGCAATAGTGACTACAAAAGAAAATATTTAGAAGGACACATGCTAGTGAGAACCCTGAAGCCTAAGCATCATAAGCTTCATGGTCAATTGGCCTCTTGGCCACACCTTGCATTCCCTCCTCCCTACACCCTGTGCCCTATCTTCCACACACCTTTTTCCTTTAATTCTTGTCTATTTCCATACATGTTCACATGTTGATCTGTACATGTCACACAGCTCCCAGATCTTTAGCTTTAAAAATAAGCACATGCTCTTATTTCATGATTTTACCTGTCCTCTCTTATTCAGGTAAGTCCCAGAGTCATCTACTAGTAGAACAAATAGTAGGTTTATTTCTGTAAAAATTTAAGTTGATGGTCAATTGAGATCTGGAACTCTCCTAGCTTGCAAAGATACACCTATTAGCAGAGATATGTGAGCTGGATATTTTATTTCCATCTTGCTCAAAGTGGATTGAAAACAGGATCATGATCTACATGTCTGGCACCCCTAGAATAGCACTCAGCCACCCTGTCTGGTTTTTTTTTTTTTTTTTTTTTTTTTTCATTTTCTGGAGAGGTTCTGTTAATATAACACAATGACATTAAATGAATATTTATTTCTTGTTAAATAGCTCATGTTTGCCAAAATAACTGTCACTTTTATTTCTTAGTTACTTTCCATTTTCCTTTTAAGTGAGAGCTGAAAAATCATGTCAGTGACTCTTATTTCCTCCCCATTTGCATTTTGTTTTATTCTAGGCATTGGTGAAGGTCAATGTGAAACTGAAGCCAATGCTGGATTCGGTGGCTGTGAACAGAAGTAAGTGGGAAGAGTTGCACCAGAAAAGACTGCTGGTTTCGGCGGCCGCCCCCTCTTCTGCCAGTGTCATGGTGACTGGGGAAGAAAGAAACTAAACTCCATGTCTGCTGTTGCTGCAAAATGATCACCAGCTTTGGCAGTAGTGCCAGTTTGGGTCCTACCACACCATCTTTTGTTCCTTTAAGCTCAGACAGACCTACAGTCTGGGGCATGCACTGGGAAGCATGTGTAGGCTTTCCCCTTGAAATGTGGTCAGCAGGGGAGAACATGACAGGAAGGACAGAGGAGGAGGTGGGGCTGGGAGCACACACTGGGACCCTCAACTTTCCCTGATGAACATCCAGGGGCTGAGACAGGCTCTGGGCAGAGGACCCAGACAGTCGCAGGACAGTGGGTCCTGCTCACTCTGAGTGGAGGGTACACAGAACAGTGAAGTCACGAGCACTGTTTCATTTTGTTACAAACTAAACAATGCCTGCTTTCCCTCCTCTCCTGAGCGCCCTTTGTGCCAGACTGCCCAAGAATCCCAGTTTGTATTCTGTAGAGGTGTTTTAATTTTAATTCTAAAACTTCTTAATGATAAATCAGAGCCTTTAGATTGCCTATCGAAAGAAAAACTATATTATCCTTACAAATACCAAGCACTTCCAGTTTCCCTTTAAAAGGGCCATGGTAGGAATACGACAAATGTGTTTGCTTGATTGGTGTTTATACAAGATTCATTATACTGCATTGGGATTATATTTTCCTTTTTTTCATTTTTTAATTCACCCTTCACTGTAGACAAATAGATTTTAGGATTAATAGATTAACAGACCTTAATTAAAGTAAGAATGAAAGGAAATCTACAGCTGGATTTGCCACAAGTGACATACGAACATTTAGGAACTATTTCCAGCAGTGAGACATTTCACAGGACGCTGCGTAGTCATGGAGAATGCTCACTGACTACCTTCAGTTCTCCAAATGCGCTTTGGTATAAAATTTAAAGTTACTACCAATACCTGCCTAAAACCAAATCCTGTGGTCCCCAATGTGGATTTCTCCTTAAGTGTAGAACAAACATTCTACAGAAAGCCAGGTAAATAGTAAGTGAAAATAAACTACATTAAATAGATGCAGTGACAGGAAAGTTACCTTGCTCCCCATCTTACTGAGCGATCAGGAACATGGTATGCCTTATCCAGAGACTGCAGGGCTAGAAGCTAGACTAATACCCTTAGCTTTGGCATCATTGAATGGATGACTTTGGACAAGTCGTCTAACTTCTCTCAGTCTGTCTCCTCATTTGTCAAATGAGATTACACTAGGAAATGATTTTCAGATATGTTTTAACCTTAGAAATTCTTTGTTTAAATGAAACCTTACAAGGAATCTACAAGATATATATAAAAGACAAAGTCCTTTGTGTGGAGCCAGAATGAAGGATTCAAATCCCTTGCAAATTCTCATTTCTTACTTCATACATGATAGCCCAAAAAGGAGCTCTGAGGAGTTTGGAAACCCAGGGCTAGATGAACATTGAAGCTAGCTCTGGACAAATCTGAAAATTACAAACCATCTTTATTCCTGTTGTTAGCAGTCTGTATCAGTTATTATCTCTACTACTCAAATATTAAAGAAGTAGGGGTCACTTTCCACAATGGACATTATTTTCCTGGCACATAATAGACATTTGGGAAATGTTTAAAGAATGGGTAAAATGAGGCACCAAAATGAAAGTGATGGAAGAACAGGTATTCATAAGGAAGATGTAAGATTCTGTATATGGCAAGAAATAAAGTTTTTTTTTTTTAAGTATAAACCAGGAAAAAATGGGGGAAAGAAGAAAAGTAGGAGGAGGAGCAAGAAGAGGAGAATAATGTGGATGAGGAGGAGCATAAGAAGATATCATAAAAGGAAGACAAAAATCAAATCAAGGCAGGTGGCAAGAAAACTACCAAGAGAAAGGAGAAAGTCAATCAAAAAAAAAATGGTGCTGCCAGCCAAATAAATGAGGGTGTAGATCGTGGCATCAATTGCTTAGAAAAGAGAGATACTTGAGCAGGGAGGGGTTTTGCGGAAAAAAAGAAAGGAAAAGAGGGAGCCCTAAAAGAAGAATGTTCTGGCCGCCCTTTACAGCTGTCTCTGCAGGGAAGACTGGAGAAACTCGAGGAGAAAATGAGTGCAGGAAAAATTGCCTCCACAGAGCAGGTAAAGAGGAGGTTGTTAAGATTTATGAATTTTATTAAGCCAGTTTTCTGAATCACTCTGCTATAAAGGAGAATAGCTTCTGCTGGGCTATGTCCCCTCCTTCAGGTGAGGAACAAAGGGTGGGTGGAGTCTGGGGCAGACCCTGGTCATGTGTCTGCAGCTCTGAAGAACTGCAGGTGTTTCTGGCTATTGTGCTACATCATGTTTATGTCACAAATGGGAATTGAAAATCAGGCTGTGTGAGGCAGAGATGAACCCACATCTGTTACTCACCTGCAATAAATAAATAGCTCAGACAGACTGATGCCAATCTATCTAGAGCAAAATTTTAAAGCCTGTGCTTTATGATACAGCTAGACCCGGGGTACGATGGAGACTGCAGGCAGCTGTATGCACTGCAGTACCTTGGATGTTGCTGCTGCATATTGCTAAGGGGAACATAATTTATAGCACAGACCCTACGGCTTCCACTAAGGTTGAGTTTTTCTCTCATTTTCTTGCCTTTTTATTGGCTTCACTGCACGGTTGCCAATAGCAACATCCGCTAGTAGCAAGGGGAGTTCAACACCATTGCAATCTGCCATACAGTGGAGCCCTGACAATGTCAACCATCAATCAAATAGCTGTTTGTAATTGCCTCCATCTATTTCTCCTGTCTCAAGGTATCTTTCCTATTGTGGGTCAGAATTCAGAAACTGCTGACTAATGTTCCTCTACAACCAGGAAGCAGTGGAAAAGGAGGGTAGCAGTTTCCCTGATGCCAATAAACCCCAGGGGTCAGAGGCTGAACTCTTGGGAGTTTGAAGCATTTCAATCTCTTTTCTAAATAGTGTATAATTGTCCAAGAATGTGAATTGTATGGTGCCATTTTTCTAATCCTTATTATTAATATTTATTTCCTATTGATGGAAAGCATTTGAATCTTCTTTTAAGACTATATTATACTTGCTTCCTTGGGTTTCTTGGCATTAATGGTTGAAATGATTTCATCCTACTTCTTCTATGAGATGAATTTTTCAAACATGCCATTTATTCTTATTTGTCAGTATGTGGATAATACATGCACAACCTGCAGGGTCACTGTCATCAGCACCAGTAGGGGCCACTTAGCAAACCATCCAGGGTGCCATCCAGGGTGCCACCCAGTGCACAGCAGACCTGGGCAGCATCCTGGCTTGACCACGGCCTGGACCTTTTAATTTGGAACTCTCCAGGTCTCAGTCTCTCCACTGGAATATAAAAGCACGGACTTTTATTCAGTTTACCTTCACACCAAATGACCAAGCTATATTTGACTTAATTTTTTTTCCCCAGATAACAGTTTATATACTCATCTCAAATAAAATAGGAGCAAACCTCCAAGAGGTCATTTTCTCACTAAATTAGACATTATATATGTGGTACATAGAAGAACAACCTTAACATAAATATGTGTACACTTGCCTCTAGTGATCATGAAAGATATGGTCAGCAGTACAATTTTTAAATATATGCCCTTTCATTTCATATGGACAATTTTAGATCATCTCACACCATACATATTCCATAAAAAGGATTCAGTTTACTTCATAAATAAACTTATAAAATGAGTCAAAGAAGTTAAACTGCATGTGCATTTTCTGTTTCTGAAATCTGAGAGATCAGTACATTTCCAGGTATTTCATATTTGTATATATGTAGGGTTAGAAATAATCTCAGTGTGATAACAATATTATCTAATATTCTATTAACAATATTATTTAATATTGTTAGATATTTTGTATTTGCATATACATTGGCTAGATAGAACATATCTTAGTATAATAATATTAACTAATATTTGTGTTACAGGAATTCAGTTGCATTTTCATGTATTAAAGTTTATCATACTTTATCCAATTTAGGGGATTAAATCTGCTTGATTTATTTTGCTGTAAAATTGTTTTAAAATCTATTTTTCCTGCTGACTCTTAATGAATTGCAGAAAGATAAAATACAATTTTATCCCAGCAGTAGTGTGAAGCAACTCCCTTCAAAGCAGGACAGAAATCTAAATATATTAGGGGAAGATTTAAATCTAAAGAAAAATGCTTGGCTGGAAAAAATAAAAACTCAAAAAGGACTCATTAAAGCAACAGAACAAAATCTAATTGGGAGCCCCAAAACTCAGACAATGCCACTGTAGTGAAGTTTCTCTAACTGTTTCAAAATAGCAAATTTCAAAGCAGTTATTCTGCCATGTGCTATAAAGAACTCCCCAAACTCCAAGTGTATCAGGAAATTTAAAAGGTAAAGTCTGGCTACCAGAAGGGCAAAATTTCCTAAGTATATAAGTAAGCAATTATATAATAAAACACATAGGTGGCGGTAAGAAAATGAAGTGTCTGGAGAATTTCACCATGAGCTCTTGGATTTAGCAATGCTTGATATTCTGTTTACATTGCTAGTGCTACTTACTCCCTTTTCCTCAGCTAGTAAATTGGGGTTGTACATCTTCCCTAGTATAATTTTTAATCTTCTTGCATATTTGAACAACTATCAACAGTGCTAAAGATAAGTTGTCAATCTGTGTAGCATATCTATACCAATGTCTTTGGCTGGTACAGAAATGATTGTTTTGTTAAGTAAATGAAGTATTTGCTGTGCACCCAAAAATGTGTTATTTGAGGCCATCATTTATTGTTATATTCATTTTCTGTGTGTATGTTAGAATTTCAATTTTTTTCGTTACATTTAGATTAAATTATATTTAGATGAATTTTTAAAAAACAGTACAGTGTGGAAATAAGAGACTAAATTTTGTTGAGTTTCCTTCCTGTGGGGGGAAATTGTTTTTGCCATTTTATTTTGATGTACAATAATCTAAAAAGGATCCCCTAATGATTTTCTTTCAGTTCTTTCAAAAGAAGGACAATATGTCTTCAGTTGAGTTGTTTGAAGTCACTCCCTTTGTGTTGATTTCCCAGGCTGATGTTTCATAATAAGAATACAATATTATATAGACTGCTTGGCCATTTCACAGGCAACTAATTCATGATTTTAAAACTGTCAGCTTTAAGAGACCTAACTACCTATGTTTTTAATAAAATGCTTAAAGTTTAACTTAAATTCTGGGATGATCTTTATTTCTCTTGAAAAGGGTGATTTAAGGGCTGACTACCAACAATTTAAATGTTGATTATCAATTTATCCCATTAATCTCATCTTAATCTGTGATGTTTGCCTGTGTGAGAAGGATAATGGAACAGCCCTGTCCATGGAGCATTTCAAAGATTACAAAAGGTTCTTTGAATCACTGAAGTTTTTTTCTGGAAGGAGAAGGTCTGCAGCTGAATACGGGTTCCTGGGTCCATTAGACACTGCTCAAATTTGCATGGACAATTACACAGAGGGGAGGTAGGATCACAGGGAGGCAGGGCCGCCAGTCACACCGAAGCCATACAATTACACAATGGCTTCGGTGCTTAAACTTTAAAATTCTTACACCATTGTGCCTGTTCTTTTAGAACAAACTGCAGCAAATGATCCAAAGCCAATTCAAATGACTGGAGAGGAGGTGCCCACGGGGACAGAGGGAGAGGTGTAGCGTGGCCCCTACTGGCCAGCATAAGCAATCACCAGCCCGAGTGCTGGCAGCAGCTACCAGCTTCTTTGTGCTTTGCACTCCTTGCTTTTGAAGTGGGAGAACAATAAGAATCACCTAATTCACAGAAGGGCTGTGAGGATTAATGAGGGAACTTAGGCAATGTCGAATCCGGTCCTGCTACAGAAAGTACAGCGTGGAGACAGAACGCAGATAGCTCTTTGTTTGGAGGGCTGGTATGCTCCTCTCCTAATCCCCTTTATAAGCCATAATGCTATTGTGCTCTCCCTGATAAGTTAATCTAGATAATAACATCATAAGCACCAAAATAAAAGCTACTTGATAAAAAGGAAAAGGTATGTTCAAGAAGGAAATCTAATTAAAATATTAATAAAGCTAGAACAACCAGAGAAAGAGAGTTCATAATAAGGTTAAATGTCTCACCATCTGAGCATAAATGTTGCCAGATGTTGATGTGGTATATATACAGTCTTTTCTAAAGTCTTAAAAGACTGAACAGCTCCTCCTAAAAGTCAGTCAACTACATTACCAGTTTGGCACTAATTTATTCTTTTCTTCCCTGTTTATGGAAGGAGCTGGGGATAGAGAGGAGGGGAAGAAACACTATCTGAACCCCTCAAACTGGCCATCCTGAAGAAAATGGCCTGGAATGAAAGGGGAAAAGAAATAACAACTGAAAATATTTTTTCAGGTGTTCTTCTATCAAGGAAGATTTTTGACCACAGCTGTGGTGTCAAGATGTTCATAAATTACCAATGTTTACCAACAGAAAGCGTTTACATTCATAGAATAAAGAAAACATAGCTTTGAACTAGTTCCAAAAGAGAATACCAAATAGGTTAAGAATACAAACACAATTCGGGATTTAATCATCTCACATTTTGGCAGCAGAAAACAAGCATGTTAATATACCAAAATTATGTTTTTAGCTCCTATACATGTTGCCTGGATGGAATTCTACATGGTAAACATGCCTCCGCTGATGCAGTAACATCCACCTGAGTCCAGCACCATTTTCTCAAAGCCTATTTCCTTTCAGTAAGGCACTAAATCATTTTATTGCAAACACAAAATGCTTCCTTATTGCTAGCAACAGTATGATACACTTACTTTTTGACATATGCTCCAGCTTTTCAAGATTTGGAAACAAAATGATCCTTTATGACATTTTATAATAGTCCACCGTGTTCATTGCTTTCCACAATTTATCATTAATTAAAGGGATTTCTTTCACATATACAGACTTCCCAAAAAACTAATCTATTCCCCAACTGCCTATCACAGACTAAATAAAAGTCAGTCTATCACAGCAGCAGTGATGGTCATGCCAATTTCACAGAGTGATTTGTGCACTCATTTCATTTTGAAAATGACCCTGCCCTCCATCTGTCTAAGCCGAATGTCCTGCCTTTTTCAAGCCAGGCCTTGGAGCAGCAGCACATGAAATAAGGAGGAAGACACAAAATGGCCTCCCTCCTGCCACTTCAGCTGCCACACTCACACAGGGGTATCAGTGCAAAAAGGGGAACCTCAACTGATCCCTGTAGGGATCTGAGAAATTTGGGGAGAGCAGAAAGTACTGTTTTTCATACACTGCCAAGAAGCCATTTGAAGGTGAATGCTTGCATGATGCAAATATAACACTGAACAACAGAGACAGGCTGAAGATATAAAAGGCAATTTCCTGTTTCCATGTTCTGTCATCTTATCTTGACTTAATAGCAACTCACCAAAAGTAATAGCTCATACATAAGGATTTAAAAATACTGAGGCTGGGTTTCCATGGGAATAATGTAGTCAGTAAAGGTGACGGTCCTTCCCCAGCCCCCACATTCCCGGATTATTTTTTTAAAGATTTTTTTTTTTATGCATAGAAGAGCTGGGGTGAAGGCCAGAGGAGCCAGGGTGGGGGCGGGGTGTGTGAGAGGATTCACCAGAGACAGAGTAGGGAGCAGAACAGGCAGATCTACTGAAATACACTGCTGAGGGGAGCAGTAGATGAGACAAGAGAGGTCTGCTGTGCCATATAGGTTATCTCCCTGGCTGGGGATGGAACTCATGTCACAGTGGCTGACCATAGCTTGACAGAGCTGAGACTTTAACCTCTGAGTCACCAGGGAGGCCCTCCCCTGATTATTGAACAGCACTGGTCAGCATCTTTCCATCCAGGTAACACCGTGATTTGAAGATCCTAACAAGTGCACCCATAGATTGGGTTGAAAGAAGCCATGGAGTGGAGTTCTCATCATCTGCTTTCTCTAGGGATGTTAGGTGACCCAGAGACCCCACTCAGTCCCTCTAAAATGAGTACAGTTTGTCCCTTTCTTGACTTTCATGCAGTGGGAAACTTCTTGTCTGCTCCCACCCAGGAAGACTGCACAGCTCTGCCAATTTTTTAGCAAGGGAGAAGACTGTATGAATACACAGTCAATTGCTTTATGATAGGAGCAATGAAATGGCCCACAGAAGTCTTCTTGCTATACCAGGTAACTAGCAGCTATGCCACTCTCACTAGTACCTTACTAACATCCGTACACCGCGTTGATTCGCTGTTTTGATGGGTTAAAAAAAATAAAACCTCATCTTCTGTCATACAACTTGTCACCAAGCAATGGGCCCTTACAAACTCATCTATAGGAGATGCATAAAATAGGTTATTAGTCACTGTTTTGTAGTGAAACTAGCAGTTCTTTTAAACTCCTGTGTAATCCCATGCTGTGTGGTCTTTTAAATTCCTAAACCTTTCTACTACACAGATTCTTCATCCGCAATAAGCAAAATACAGAGTGAACTGAAGATCAGAAATAATACATGTAAGTGATAGTAGTGTGCCATACAATATGGTTAGTGCTGGCTCTGAAACCTATATATAAAAAGATGGAAAGCAAAATTTTCAAGGAAGCAGCTAAAATACTTGCACCTAAGTCTTTAACTACATAACAAACACATTTCCACACTTTTTATATTAGGTACTGGGCTGGCTAATGCATATCCTAGATCAATGGAGATGAAGGGAGATCAAGGAAGGCTGGTTTCTTATTTGTGGTGACAGCTGGAAGACTGGGGAAGACCAAATTCAAATGCCAACTGTTCAGTAATAAATTGTCATTTATGAAAAAAATGGGGGCTAAACCTGAACCTCGTCTATTATCAAGTAAGATTCATAAAATCATTTCCTACTTTCAACCTGTGGAATCGACAAAAATAAGGACTCTTGATAGCTGCATATTGTGTTAGTAAGAAAGCATGCCATCTAAGCAGCTTGAAAAAGAGAACACAATCAACTACCAAGAAGTTTGTTCCCTTTTCCTTCCCATTATTTATAATAATGGGGGGCCTTCCTGGTGGCGCAAGGGATTAAAGTACTGCACTATGAAGCAATACACAGCCTCAGCAGCAGGAGTTCGATCAGGGAGCAACCCACAATGCGCAGCAGACTTCTCCTGTCTCTCCCACTGCTCCCCTCAGCAATTTATTTTAGTCAGTCTGCCTGTTCTGTTCCCCACTCTGTCTCTGGTGAATCCTCTCAACCCCCCTGCATCTCTGGCCTGCACCCCACCTCTTGTATGCATAAATAAATAAATCTTTAAAAAAATTACAATAACGAACACCAAACGACATCATTCATAAGCATTGTACAGTGCATAAGGCTAAAAACGCAAGGTATTAGTAACCATAAATATTCCTCCTCCGTGTCAAAGAACAAGGTACCACCACATTCAACCTGCAACACGCAAGCATAACACGAAAGAAAAACCATGGCAACTTCCTCTCCCAGGGGCGGGCCCATCCCGCAGAAACTACGTCTCCCAGAATGCAGCGCGGCTACGTCCCCAGCGTCCTGTCGATTGAAAACTGCATGCCGGGAAGTAGAGTTTGTTTCTTCCTGGAGGCTTTGCCTCTCTGGTCCGTGATCTACGGCCTCAAAGGCCCAGATTCGTCCACGACTACTAGTAATTGAGAAATATCAGTGATTCTCATTTATTCCTCACGAAGATATTTTTATTCCTCCTTCCGCTGCAAAGTAAGCTCCAGAGAAGCACCCGCCATTGCTGGTGGGCTGGTTGCCGTGGTAACTGGGACGCACACCCGCCCTGGCGGTTATGGCGGGGCTGGGCGGCGCGCAGATCCCCGATGGGGAGTACACGGCCGTCGTGTACCGGCTCATCCGGGATGCCCGCTACGCAGAGGCGGTGCAGCTGCTGGGCGGAGAGCTCCAGCGGAGCCCGAGGAGCCGCGCCGGCCTGTCGCTGCTGGGCTACTGCTACTACCGTCTGCAGGAGTTCGCGCTGGCGGCCGAGTGCTACGAGCAGCTGGGCCAGCTGCACCCCGAGCTGGAGCAGTACCGCCTGTACCAGGCCCAGGCGCTCTACAAAGCCTGCCTTTATCCGGAGGCCACCCGGGTCGCCTTCCTCCTCCTGGACAACCCTGCCTATCACAACCGAGTGCTTCGACTCCAAGCCGCTATCAAGTACAGTGAGGGTGATCTGCCCGGGGCCAGAAGCCTGGTGGAGCAGCTGCTGAGTGGGGAAGGGACAGAAGGCAGTGGGGGCGAGAACGAGCCTGATGGCCAGGTCAACCTGGGCTGTTTACTCTACAAGGAGGGACAGTATGAAGCCGCGTCTTCCAAGTTCTTTGTGGCACTGCAGTCCTCAGGCTACCGGCCTGACCTCTCCTACAACCTGGCGTTGGCCTATTACAGCAGCCGCCACTATGCCCCAGCCCTGAAGCATATCGCCGACATTATTGAGCGTGGTATCCGCCAGCACCCAGAGCTAGGTGTGGGCATGACCACTGAAGGCATTGATGTTCGCAGTGTGGGCAACACTGTAGTCCTTCACCAGACTGCTCTGGTGGAAGCCTTCAACCTCAAGGCGGCCATTGAATACCAACTGAGAAACTATGAGGTGGCCCAGGATACCCTCACTGACATGCCACCTAGGGCAGAAGAAGAGTTAGATCCTGTGACCCTGCACAACCAGGCGCTAATGAACATGGATGCCAGGCCTACAGAAGGTTTTGAAAAGCTACAGTTTTTGCTCCAACAGAACCCTTTCCCCCCAGAGACCTTTGGCAACCTGCTACTGCTCTACTGTAAGTATGAGTATTTTGATCTGGCAGCAGATGTCCTGGCAGAAAATGCCCACTTGACTTATAAGTTCCTCACACCCTATCTCTATGACTTCTTGGATGCCATGATCACATGTCAGACAGCTCCTGAAGAGGCTTTCATTAAGCTTGATGGGCTCGCAGGGATCCTGACTGAACAGCTCCGTAGACTTACTAAACAAGTACAGGAAGCAAAACACAATAGAGATGATGAAGCTATCAAAAAAGCAGTGAATGAATATGACGACACCCTTGAGAAGTATATCCCCGTGTTGATGGCCCAGGCAAAAATCTACTGGAACCTTGAAAATTACCCGATGGTAGAAAAGATCTTCCGCAAATCTGTGGAGTTCTGTAATGACCACGATATTTGGAAGCTGAATGTGGCTCATGTTCTGTTCATGCAGGAGAACAAATACAAAGAAGCCATAGGTTTTTATGAGCCCATAGTCAAGAAGCATTATGACAACATCCTGCATGTCAGTGCTATTGTATTGGCTAACCTCTGCGTTTCATATATTATGACAAGTCAGAATGAAGAAGCTGAGGAGTTGATGAGGAAGATTGAAAAGGAGGAGGAGCAGCTCTCCTATGATGAACCAGATAGGAAAGTCTACCACCTGTGCATTGTGAATTTGGTCATAGGGACACTTTATTGTGCCAAAGGGAACTATGACTTTGGTATTTCCCGGGTAATCAAAAGCTTAGAACCTTATAATAAAAAACTGGGAACCGATACCTGGTATTATGCCAAACGATGCTTCCTGTCCTTACTGGAAAACATGTCAAAACATATGATAGTGCTGCGTGACAGCGTTATTGAAGAATGTATCCAATTCCTAGAACACTGTGAACTTTATGGCAGGAACATACCTGCCATTATTGAACAACCCCTGGAAGAAGAAAGAATACATATTGGGAAGAATACAGTCACCTATGAATCCAGACAATTAAAAGCTTTGATTTATGAGATTATAGGGTGGAATACATAGTAGCCTGTGATAATGGTTTTAATCAATATTGCTTTGTTATATACACTTGTCACTCTGTTTTATCTGCATTTATTTGGCATTTTCATTTTGTCGTTACATGTTGAAATTAGTACACAATTAAAATGACTTAGATGTAACTTTTCTTTGAGAAACCTCAAAACATGGAATATCATTAAAAAGAACTTGAACTGTAGAAGGATTTATGAAAAAATTCAAGTGATCAGGGAAGTTGTATCTAATATATCTGCAATGCCTATATTCCCTCTCCTTTTCATCTCTTGTGCTTTGCTATATCCTGAGAGAGCCTTGCATGACAAGATCATCCACAGACTAGTCCTGTCCAGTCCAGAGTTCAATATATAAGGTCTTTGGACTTTAACAATTATTTTAAGACTTGTGTTGCACTCCAACAGTTAGACTTCGTAATTATATTATTTTGTAATGCATACATTTTGCATAAACTTTAGTATGTTTGAGGAGAGTTTTCCAATACTTCATCTAACACAAATTCCTTGTGGTCAAAATTTTTAGGGTGCAATAGGGGAAAATGTGCCATAACAAAATTATGGTGCTATGGTGTATAGATAATAAACAATTGACAATTTTCATAGTTATTTTTTTGTTCCATTTATTGAAAATCTGAATATATAAGCATAAACAAGGTATGCTCTTAATGTTTGATAGTTGATTTTTAACACTGATTAATAACAGAGGTAGCTTTAAAACTCAGTTCTTAATACTTAACCATTGTGTTTCTACTTAGGACACATTCATGCTAGAATTTGTTCCTATGTTTTAGCCTCTAAATAAAGGAAAAATTTTCTACACTAATACAAATATAAAATATTTTACACTAATATAAAATATTCAGACATTCTCATGACCCTAATAGACTCCTTCTCTCTTGTTCACATAACAGATCACACGATATACTAGTAGATTGTGAACTTTCTGGTAGGTTCATAATACCAGCTTAATTTTCAAAACCCTCTCATAGTGTTTTGGGACTCTTAGTATAAACACCACTGATTCTGCACAGGCGTTTAATTTTCTATAAGCTACCAAGAGCATTACTATTTGTTTCCTCTATCCCAAACCTCTTTGCTTTTAATAAATGTAACTGTAAATCCACTCAATCTGACTTAGGAAAAAAATGAAAAATAATGTGGAAAAGTTTTCAACCTATAAAAACAGCAATGTGTATTGTTCAACCTAATAGCTTTCAATGAAGAGTAAGGATGCCTACTCTGATGATTTTATTTTCCTTTAAGAGAAACCACATAGCTTTATGTGACGAATGCTCAGAATATTTTCTGACCTCTTGGGTGTTGAAATTCTGTCACATCTCTCTGAGAATTTGGCTCTTTGTGAGTGCTAAGACATGGTCTGTAAATTATGTTACTTTTAATCTATATTGCCCAAGGTACTACTATTTAGTTGATAGTAATCATCTCATATTTGGATGAAAATCTGAAGGGATTTTTAAATACGAGTTTATATGCTGTATATTGGTGCAATTCTTTCATTTGCTTAGAGTGTGGGAAGCATACAATGTGCTATGTTAGGTGATTCCTTTCCAACTCTAGCTAGGCTGGGCAGTGTGCAGCTTCTGATGGGGAGTTCACTGCTGCTCAGGGTCAAAAGCCTGGGGGAGCAGCTACTGAGTAGGAAAAGGACTGAAGACAGTGGGGGAGAGAACAAGTCTGATGGCCAGGTCAACCTGGGCTCTTTAAAAGGAGGGACAGTATGAAACCTACAGGCTTCAAGCTACCAGCTTCACCTTTACTACAACCTGGCTTTGGCCTATTACAGGCAGCACTCTGCCCTAGCAGTGAAGCAAATCATTGACATTACTGAGCAGGGAATTCTCTAGGCCCCAGAGCTAGTGTGGGTAAGGTCACTGAGGGCAGTGATGTTAGCAGTGAACAGGGTGAAAAAGGTATGCCATGAACTGCTGAATGAACTGCTGGAGTGGGTGTTTGTGTTCCTGTGGTTTAGGGTGTAAGTGATCGCTAGCCGTGGCCGGGCCATTTCTCAATAAGCAAATAAAAGCAGGTCCACTGTGCCACCTCAGGACAGACTGTGCTTTCCAATAAGACCAGTGTTGGTCTTAACTATATGCTTCCTCTCCCTTTTTTTTTTTTTTTTTTGGTCCTTTAACTTTCTGGGTCTCAAGAAAGTCCAGCTTGAAACTTGTCCTACGTTCTTTGAGAAATGCAAGTACTAAATGAACGAGACTCTTTCTTCTTGGTTCTTTTTTATTTGTGAGCTTTCATTGGTACTTCATATTTCTTCCATAATTTGGTTGATTAGTTGGTTCTTAGGTTTCACAACCACTTTTCCCTTCCTTTTCCATTTTTTATTTTTTTAGGACTGCTTTGACAAATATCAAGTGAAAGCTTTCTAATATTTTCAATACGGGGAGAAGTAAGCAGTAATCTGACAATAAAAAGACCCAGATAAGAATTCCAGACCTTCCACAGTCTAGTTTTAGAACTTAAGAAATTCATTTACCCTTTGAGTCATCACAGTCATTTGAATTGCCGAAACTCTTTAAATTACTTCTGGCTATAATATCTGATTGTATGTAAGCTATATAGGGAAAGGTGATTTTTTTTCTTTTATTATTGGGATATATAAATAAGTCAATCAAGAAACAAATATATAATTGTGTTTCAAATGAATGTCTTTTGGTATTTGGGTTTATGTAAATGTTAACCTGTGAGGTAAATGTTATCTTACTGGTGGATGCTTTAATAAATTGGTTCATTATTACTACAAAATTTGGATTTGTATCTTTTTTAACTCAGAGCTTTACTTATTGCTATAGCTATGAGCATATACTACATAGTCCTCCTTCTCTGATATAGTTGTGCATAAATTTTGTAAATATTTAGAAACAATTTAATTCTCTTAACATCTTCCTTCTAGTTTATCTACTAAAGTATGTGTTTGTTGGGAGATTTGCTTTTTATCTTCCCCCAAATAGACATGCCATTCTCCAGTTCCAGAATTTTGTGAACAGGCTATTCTACTATACATTTTTTATCAATTATTCTTGAAATAATTAGAGCCTCTCTGCCTGTGAGGTGAAGGCCTCCAGCTGCCAATCTGCCAGAAATTTAGAAAGAGAGAATCAGGTGAGGTGAAGATGAAAAGAAGATTTAGCTACGTGATTTACTCCATAACCCACCTTGGCTCCCCTTCATGTCCAAATCTCAGTAGTTAATCAAATGTCTGCTGCCATTAACAGAACAGGAGTAATGGATAACAGAGTGGAAGTAACAGATGCCAGAGTTACTTCTGTAACCAACTCACCAAATTGAATCATCAGTCCTCATACCCTTGTTTTATTTAATGCAATAGGAAAGGTCATGCAGACTTTGCAAAAGGACAAAGTCACATAGAACAGAAAGAATATTTCTAGTTTATAAAACGTTCCCTTGAAGTGTTTTCCTTTTCTGTCATCAAAGGGCCTATTTAAGAGATAGTAGTGTTTACTGCTGCAGAATGTATCACAAGATAAGAAATGAAAAATCGGTCTTCCTTACCACTCTCATTTCCCCACCCATTTTTATCTTTTATTTTCTCCTTTGTCAATTATAGGAACACTTCTCTGATAGCTAGCCATTGAAACCAAAAGCAGGTGTAAAAGATGCATGCCAACCTTTCAGCAGTAAGGGTCAGGTAAGCTAGCACTGTGATTATCAAGGGGACATTAGAAATCACTTAACCATGCATTTTTTTGCCAGTTGAGATAACATTCATCAATAAATAGTGACTCTCAAATTGGTAAAGCTAGATAAAATTATAAGAGGACTCACCAAAAGCACTGAATCTATATAGTTTGTGGAATGGGTACTTTATTTGTATAGTAAAGGAATTCCTACCTTTTCTTTCAAACTCTCTTTAATCTCACTAGAAAAAATTGACTGAAATTTTAATAATGTGCATTATTTTTACATTTAAATTGTTCTGTGATATTGGGAATTAACTATATTCTTAGCTCTAGAGAATATTTGCTTTCCTGAACCCATAATCATTTTATATTTAAAAAAAACAAAACAGAACCAGGTGTTGATCAGAAGATAATTAATTAGGCATAGGTATAATGTGGGCATGTTTTGATATTCTGGGGATGAGGGTAGAGGGAAGACTGAGTCTTTACAAGGTGATTATACTTGTATCCATCATTGAGGTTCTTTTGGTTGTTTAATTAAATCAGCTCTCTTTGTGTCTGGGAAAAAAAAACTGATCCATTACATACTGAAATCCTGTCTACAACCTCATAATGTGTATGTAATTAGAAAAATTGCTTTCATAAGTAAAAATTATTAGAAAATATTCAGGTGGAGTATTACTCAGCTATAAAAAAATATGAAATTGGGCCTCCCTGGTGGCGCAGCAGGTTGAGCACAGTGCTGTGAAGCTGTCCACAGCCTCTCTAGCGCAGGTTTGATTCCTGGCCAGCCAGGGAGATTCCCACATGGCGCAGCAGACCTCTCCTGTCTCACCCGCTGCTCCCCTCAGCAGTGTATTTCAGTCCTTCTGCCTATTCCTCTCCCTGCTCTGTCTCTGGTGAATCCTCTCACCCTCTCGCACCTCTGGCCTGTAGCCTAGCTGTTGTATAAATTAAAAAAAAAAAAATCTTTAAATAAAAAAATTTTTTAAAAAAACACAAAATTTTGGCCTTTGCAACAATGTGGATGAAACGAGAAGGTAGGCTAAATGAAAGAAGTCAAAAAGAGAAAGACAAATACCATATAATTTCATTCATATGTGGAAGATAAAGACCAAACAACAAATGAAATTTAAAAAAAAAACACACACACCAAACTCTTAGATTATGAGAACAAAATGGTGGTCACAAGAGGGAAGGGGGATAGGGATGAATAAGTTGGATAAAGGGGTCAATTGTCTGGTGGTAGAGGCAAGCTAGATGTTGTTGGGAATCATAATGCAGTACATACCCATGTCAAATCATAATATATTCCTGAAACCTACATAATATTATAAACCAATGTTACTTTGATAAATATTTAAAAGAAAGCAGAGTTCTAAGCATATTTCTAGTATAAAAGATGAGCACATTAGTTTAAGTAGAAACTACATGTATTAGCTGTACACAAATTACAGGTCTTAGCTGTACACAAGCCCTGATTCAAAAGTGAAATATGTACAGAGAATGGATACCTCAGTTCAAAATAACAAATGTCTAAACTTGTACTGTGCAAATAGCACTTGAGTAAGGTGTGGGGGAATGCATTGATTGCTATTATTTTGTTTCCAAGTATTTTAGTACCTGAGGCAAACACTTAAAGAACACATGACTAAAGTTTTCACCACTACCATGCTCTAAAAAGTATGTTTACAGATTCTTGAAGAGCTTACCAAGTTTGACTAAGTTGTAGGAAGGTTATCAAAAGATACAAACTTCCAATTATAAAGGAGTAAAAGTACTAAGGATGTAATCTACACCATGATGACTGTGGTTAACATGACTATATAATGGAAATATAAAAAGTTGTTAAGAGAATAAATCTTGAGTTCTCATCACAAGAATTTTTTTCCTTCTTTTTTTTAATTGTATCTACATTAGAAGGTGGATGGTAGTTGAACCTATTGTGTTAATCATTTCATATATGTGTGTATATATATATATATCTCAAACCATCAAGGCACATGCCTAAAAGTTATACAATGATGTATGTCTATTATTTCTCACTCAAACTGTAGAGAAATAACTTAAAGAATCACCAGGAAAGGGCTGGCTGGTTAATTTTTCTGTCCCTGCCACATAAGGTCAGAAGCTATTCTGTAAGACTCAAGTTCTTGGTCCCCGTTGTTCCAAATTTTCCTAGGCTATCTCCTGTAGCTTATACACTTCATATATCAAAAGGAGAGTGTATATTTTGGGGAATATAAAATGCTTAATCCATCTTGGAATATATAAAGAGGGTTACACTTTAACATTGTAAAACAAAAGAAAGTTTCAGGAGTTTAAACATTTTGGTAAAAAAAAGATTCTGCTACAAGGCAGTACCAAAAACCCACATATGCTAAGGAGTGCCATTTGTATGTTTATTAGAAAAGGCACAACTTTTTCTGTGGTTAATGCAGCATTTTTGTTTCCAGGTCTTTTGTTCTTGTACTGACTCATTTCATAAAACTGAAGCTCACTGAAATTAATGACTTGCTCAAGATTGCAGAGCCAAACAGTGGCAGGGCCAGGATCAGAACCCAGGGTTCTTCCTACTCTACCACACTTTACTCCTTAGATTTTTTTCACCCCAAAATTATTCTGAATCTATCAATGCAAAGCATTTCTTTTTTCTAGACTATGGCTTTCCCTACTTTTGTTGTTGTTGATTATTGGTGGTTTAATAAGTCTTTTTCAAAGTACAATTAGTAAGCTCATTGCTGGGCTACCCTAAAGTATACTATGGTTTCCAAAAATGTGCTGGAAGGGACTGGAGTGGACGCCACATACTGTTTCCAATCGGCACAGAGTTAGCTGTGGTAGAACCTACACTGGGGACAAAGATTACTGATCCACTTGTTTCATTGCCTTATTAAAAAGTCACTTTTTATGATTCCTCTTTAAGTTAGTGATTTTCTTCTCTCCAATATAGTCTCTAGCCATCAACCACAGTAAAAACAGCTGTCAGAGGCTTCTCTGCACCAATGTTAAGGACTTTGTGAGGGTATTTATTCAGAAATCACTAAGAGGGCCAGCTGCTTCTACAACTACTTACAGAATATTCCTGGAGACTTTTGAAGCTCCATAAAGCTTTACCTTTACTTGTACGATCCATTTGAGCCAAAACCTTAAATGCTTACACTCTTGCACAAGATTGCTCCCTCAGTTTAGTTAAGATTTTTGGGAGGGAAAATTAGAAGGAAGCTTAGAACAAGAGAGCAGATTGAGTCCAGTTCTCCACCTCTTTCCCTTCGTACTAATGACTTGCTGTCCTCACTTGACATGAGAATCAGCTGGCAAACTTTTCAAAAATAAAGATGTTTGGGCCCTGATCCCTAAAGATTGTTTCAACTTATGCAAATGGGATTGGAGAGAAGGGATCAATCTTTAAAGTTTCCCCTGTGATGTCACCAAGTTGGTGACAGAGAAGGTTCCTTGCTTTGGTTCCAAGGGGAACATCTAACATTTCAACAGAAGGACACTACACTGAGAGAATCCAGTGACTTGGGGTGAGACTGAAGCACCCTATGTACCTCAGAAACCATCACAGACTGCACCAGAGGGGACATGGAGAGTCATGCTTCGCTGGACAGGAGGTGGGCAGGGAGAAATGCCCAGAGACTGTGGTATGAGGTGGGGACACAGCTGGCAGGCTGAAGGTTCAGGTAGGGACCCTGAGGAGGGCAAAGTAAAATGGTATGCAGGCATGCACCCTTCATCCACGTGAAAATGGGGATCTCCACACACAGGTGTGCCCCAGTGAGGAAACTAGTGAAGAGGGCACAGTCCCCAGACCTTTGAGCAGGTACTGACTTAACAAAGCACAATGACAGCAAACAGCACACAGACAGCTGAGGTGCTGAGAGACGGTGATGGTGCCACAACATTACCCTCCCCAGTACGTTTGCAACAGGGTCCTGACCCTTCCATGGCTCTCCCCAACGCTGCTAACATAGCAACTGCAAAAGCAGGTCTCAATACCTACAGAAGTTAGCAAAGGCCAAAAAGACAAAATAAAACCACAGCACCACCTATGGGAAAAGTAAAAAGTAGTTTGACTCTCAAGTTAC